TATGTCTAATATTATGTCTTTTTTCTTTTTAAGGATGAGTTCTACAAGGAGCGATCATTATATATTGAAGAAATTTATGATTTGAACAAATTAAGTTTGCCAACATCTATGATCTTTGTTCTCTTCAAAGATGGTTAATAAGTCTTCTCAGCCATGAATAATATTGCATAACAAGGCAAGAAGACCATCCTACCATTCGATTGTTGAGGCCTTTCTAACTTCCTTCAAATAAAATATTTGAAACACCATCATGAGTTGTTTCTACTTCTAATAAAATCATCAAACATCAAGAGTCTCTCTCAAGGTTATGATATCAAATATGTTATAACTTGCCATTTATTTAAGAGAAGACATGTCATTCTTGAAGATCTTTATCTTAACTACATCATCTTGAAAGTTATAATTGTCACAATGTCTCATTTGATAAGTCACTAAGTAATAATTCTTGAGTTGAATTTGCTAATTGTTGATTCTCCATCTCTTTAGTATCACAAATACACAAAATTTATAAACAAAAATAGAAGGTAGAATGTTGTTTTTCTTAGAACTTATTGTTGAAGATCAATAAGATCTTACATAGTTGCGATTACTTAAAATTAAACCATAATAAGTTACAAATGGTTAAAAAATAACAAAGAATTAAAAGATGTTATTATGGTGGTGGCTAGGGTTTTAGATAGTAGTTAGATTAAGAAGAATTTAGGATTTAGTTGGATATAAGAAAGAAGGATGAAAAAAATTATTGATAAAGTTCATCCATAATTGATGCAAACTCTAGCTATAAGTAAAGAGTGTTGGAAGTGAGAGTCATCTTATTTTATACTACACTTTGTGTCGAACTTTGTTGATGCTAAGTGTTGTGGCTTCTAACTTCTCTTTCTTCAATAAATTATGGATCCACTCACATTTTCTTATGAATTCTTTTGAAGTTATATGAAGTCTTTGTTATTATATGGAGTAGATCATATTGTTGTTGTTCATATTAGGATTTTGAAACTCCTAACTTTTAGATTCATATCTAGATTCAGATCTTTGTTTGTTTTTAATTGTTGTTAAGTGCATCTTGAAATTAGGATATATTTTGTACCTTATGATAATATTATAGAACACTAGTGTTTTTTTTTTCTTATTGATTAAGATCCTTAGTGAGCTAAGTTTGTAGTTTTATGTATTAAAAGAGCTTAAGATACTTAAAAGACCTTTTATGGTGCTTTTAGATGATTTGTGAGCACAAAAGTGATAGAAGAGTAACAAATCTGGTTTGAAATGTTTATATTGATCATTGAACTTGTAAGAGGTCCTAGAAGTGAATTTGAGAGAGTTTTGATATTAAAAATATTTTTTATTTACAAAGAAGGCATTCTGAGATTGTAAGGTGACAATACTTTTTTGCTGATTTTGAAAGCTTTAGAATTATTTTTCTTGATATTTTTTGATACATATCTTTCTTAAATATAGCTTCAAGTAAAGATGAAGGCTTGAGAGAAATTAAAAATTTTGGAATTAAAAATTTCTACCATTGGAAGGTCAAAATAAAACTTTTATTAACTTCTTTGGATGTATGGAATATTGTAGATGAAAGTGAAGAGTGTCCAAGTATACATGCTGATACAAAAGAAAAGAAGGACTACAAATATCATGAAAAAAAGGCCTTTGGATTAATTACATGCAATATAGATGAAGCCAATTTTTCCCACATTATTTCACTACATGACAACAAGACTTAGCAATGAAGTAACCAAGAAAAAAGAAAAAAAATCTCAAAGTGAAGATTCACTACTCTACTCATGAAAAAGCAAGGGCAACTATTCAAATCAATGAGGTAATGTCAAAACTTGCTTCATTTGTGGCAAAGTAGGACATTTTGCTCAAAATTGCTACAAAGGCAAAAAAAAATAAAAAAAAGAGAATGCAAATAGTGTATAAGATGAATTTGGAGGATAAGATTATGTATTCATATCAACAAACGGAGCCTCTATAGCTGCCATGACAAGATGGATTGTGGATTCAAGTTGTTTCAAGTATATGACACCTTTTAAATGTTCATTTGACACTTATGAGGCTATTTCAGCATCAAATGTGATTTTAGCAAATAGTAGCACATGTAAAGCCATTGGAATTGGTTTTAATATGATAGAGGTAGTTGTGAATGGACATATCAATAGGATCAGATTCAAAAACGTCTTCCATATGTCCAAGATGAAGCAAAACATACTTTTGGTGAATAAACTTGTAATGAAAGGTTTTATGGTTCAATTCAATAAGAATGGATGTTTTATAAAAATATTGTGTGAAAACATGATTGTAAAAGATATTTGAGAAGAAAATTTATACTACTTCAAGTATAAGAAGGTCAATAGAGTAGAAATAGGTGCATTTCTTGAGTTTACATTAAACCAAGATAAGTTGAATATATGACATCGTCGCCTTGGCCATTTGAATATGAAGAGAATATCAAAGCTTAAGTCTATGGTAAGTGGCTTAGATCTTAGCTTAGATCTAAGCCACTTAAATGCAATACGACTTGCATTTAAAAGATGCATACAAGGCAAATAACAAAAAGCCTCATTTTTAAGTGATATAGCAACATGTGCTACAAAATTATTGGAGATTGTCCATTCTGATGTATGTGAACCTATAAAGAATACAAGTATTGGAAGAGCAAGGTATTTTTTCATTTTTATTGATGATTTTTTAAGAAAATTTTGGATTTAAATTCTTAAAGCAAAAAATGAGTGCTTTTGGAAGTTTAAGGAGTTTACAACACTTGTTGAGAAACAAAGTAAGTGCAAGATGAAGGTGGTGCATATGGACAATGGACATGAATATATATTTAAGCAATTCAATATTTATTTGAAGAATGAAGGAATTTCATATATTCCATAACAAATTGATGTAGCTGAAAAGGTAAATTGAACCATTGTGGAGACGGCAAGAAACATGCTTCATGCTCAAAATCTTAGTTATGAATTTTAGTGAGAAGCAATGGTGAATGCAGTATATATAAGGAATAAGTGCCCAACAAATGCTCCTACATCAATGATACCACAAGAAGCTTGGAATAGAAGACAACCTTACATTTCACATATGAGGACCTTTGGATGTATTGCATATGCAAAGACACCAAATTGTATGAAGTCCAAACTTGATGCAAAAGGTATAAAGTGTATTTTCTCAAGATAGTGGAGCAGCAATGGACTTAGAAATGCTTCAAATGGATGTGAAGACGGCCTTTTTGAATAGAGAATTACAAAAAGACATCTACACAGATCAATCTCAAGAATTTGTATAATAAAATAAATGACACTTTGTATATAAGTTGAAGAAATCCTTGTATGGATTGAAACAATCACTAAGAGCATGGTACCAATGTATTGACATATTTTTTTATTAATAAGAGATTTGTAAAGAATGAGGTTGATCATTTACCATATGTAATGTAATTTTAAAAATTCTTACTAATTATAATCCTCTATATTGATGATTTGATCATCTTAGCTAATAATATGGAAAAGATGGATTGGATGAAGGCCATATTAGAAAAGAAGTATGAGATGAGTGATTTAGAAGAGCTCCACTATTGCTTAAGAATAGAGTTTGTAAGAGATCGTGGTAACAAGACTATTAAAATGAGCCAAATCAAGTATATTGAAGAAGTATTGAAATGATTCAATATGGAGTAGTATAAGTCTATTAAAACATCTTTGGAATCCAATTTAAAGTTGATAAAACTCATGGATGAAGAATATGCATGAATTGAAGGTGATATACAAAGTATTCCATATAAGGTAGTAGTAGGTTCATTTATATATATAATAGTAGCTACAAGAGTGGATTTTGTATTTAGTATGAGTATTGTGAGCCAACACATGTCGAAAGCATGACTTTTGTATTGGGCAATAGTAAAAAAATATTGATGTACTTGAAAGGTATAAAAAACTTTAAATTGTGCCTTAGTAGTATAAACATTGATTTGCAAGGATATTGTGATGTAGATTGGAGTAGAGATGCAAATAATAAAAGATCAACAATGAAATATGTGTTCTTTATTGGAGTATGAGCTATTTTATGGAATTCTAAGAAACAATCTACTATTGCAAGTTCAACCATGGAAGCAAGTCATTATACAACGAAAGTATGTTGGATAAGATAATTCTTAGAAGACATTGGACTAGTGCAATTGAAAGCAACTCCAATAATATGTGATAATCAAGGATGTCTTGCATTTGCCAAAAATTCAAAATACCATTTAAGAATCAATTACATTGATATTCAATATCATTTTATATGGTCATATATATATCAGTTTAGATGCATGCATAAGTATGTAGCTAATTGCAACAAATGTCCTATTATTGATTCAACCAAACCACAAACACATATAATTACATCCAAATACAAAAAAATAAAAATAAAAAAAAATAAAAAAACAAAAACATTCCACATTCATTCATCCAAAGATGAATAATTGCAATAGTAGGTGCTTGTTGCAACAGCCTCGGAAGTCTAACTGAATTCCTTTATATTGGGAAGCAGAAGATTGGTTCCTGTGCATGCTAAAGCTTCAGTTGGATGCTTCCCGGGGTCTGAAGCCGCATGCACTCGAAATCCCAAGCAATTGAGGGTCGGGATTCGCCGTCCGACCATGCTTGTGCTCGATTACAACCTCCTTGTATCAATTTCGCGCTCCTCTCAACCCAAGCTCGAAACATCCAGCAGCGATGGCGCGTCGCTGGAGCTGGATGAGGAACCAGAGTTTTCGCTGGCGAAAGCTTGCGTGGGAGCCATGGGACCAGCTGGGGAGG